TTTGCGTGTGATTTTTATTTTACTTTTTGGAACTTCGCAAACTTGGTAAAAAATTTTTAGATTTGATGCATCTCCATTTGCATCCGTGCAGCTTTGTAAAGAATCAGTAAGTAATTTAATGAATTATGGATGTTGAAAGTAGAGACTTTAAGCTTTAAAATGATTTTTTGATCATTCCGACACGATCATTTTTGACGAAGTTACACTCTCTTGAAATTTGCCTATTTTTAGTGATCAGAATGGGTGATGCTTTAATTTTGCTGTCGAGTGTATATATATATATATGTATAATAATTTAATCTAAAATGATCTGTGTTATATTAATATGTATATTATAATAATGTATTGTTTATCATTTAGATGAATTACAGCACATATTAAACATCGCGAAGCCGCGCATTGTTTTCGTATCTCAGCGAACCGAAAATCTCTTCGCTAAGATCCTACCGAAATTATCCTGGAAAATGGAATTAATAGAACTGGACGATCAATCGCTCACAACAAATGTTCGTACGTTGACGAATATCTTAAATAATGAACCGGATGTAGACTACATGAAATACAAGCCTGCAGCTATTGATGATCCCAGTCGGCATCCGTTGGTTGTTCTCTGTTCGAGTGGCACCACGGGGTTGCCGAAAGGAGTGACGCTGCCTCATAAAAATCTAATGGCGTTTTTAACAAAAATAAGGCAAGTTTTAAATATTTGTATTATTTTCTTAACTGTTAATTAATAAATTTTTTTTAAATTTTTGTTTTTACATGACAATAAAATCAATATGCATTTGATTAAAAACAAGGTGTTAAATGTTTAATTTAAAGAGAGATTTTAATTTAACACAAAATATAATACGTACCATACTAATTATTTTTACATCCTCCTCAACTATGTATAATGTTATAATTATTAATTTATAATTTATTTGTAAACTCTGCATGTACAATTGTCCAAAAAGCCAAAGTCCCATTTTGTCGCTTAAAAGCAATTTAGGATTTGATTCTATAATTCAAATATGATTTTAAAATGTAGCAAACCTGAAAACGCGGACACAAGAAGTGGTGACAGAATATTGATACTGGTACCGTTTTATCATGGTTACGGGGTGGGTATGCTGTTACTCAGTCTTTTCGCGAACTGCACCTGTATTATAATGCCCGCATTCGAGCCGCAACTCTTTCTAACCCTAGTGCAGGAATATAAGATCACCCATCTGCCGCTGGTGCCGCCAATCCTGACGTTCTTGGCAAAACACCCGCTGGTAGATAGTTATGACTTTTGCAGCGTGAGAGAACTCATCTGCGGAGCAGCGCCGCTTGCGAAGGAGGTAAGTTTTCTTCTGTTATCATGAAGTTGTTGTCCCCTTTATTTACAAAACCGCCTTCTCTCATCTTTCTCCAAATTATCACGGCAAAGAAAGCAGCCATCAGCGGGACTAAAAGTGTCGAAGTGAGTCTTTGATGCCGCAGCTGCGGTAAGAACGGAGGACTGTGACGAAATTGCGGGGACTCGTCGCGTTTTCACTAGACACGATTTGGACAGTAACTTTATCGCATTCGTTTTCGTTTAACCAGTTCACGAAGTCGTTAAGGAAAAATAGAAAAAAAAGAAAATAGAAGGCCGCATTATCGCAAGTTTCGCAATTATCTTTGGAAAATGCAAAATTAATCTCTGTATCGGTAGAGAGTCTCCAAAAGACAGAAAGAGAAGAAGAGAGTTTTTTAAAGTTTTGAAATCTAAACATGTCTCTGAGAACTTAATGTCTTTTGAATGTCGCTTTTAATTAGATTATTGTTGCTTTTATTTCTCTGATTTAAATACAATTAAGATCAAAACAGACATTGAAAACGACAAAAAGGACGCTATAAAAAGTATATATGTTAAATTTTATATTGAATAAAATTCATACTACTAAATTCTATGACTGTAGCAGTTAAAAACCATTTTTTGATAAAACTTAAAAATAAAAGATATCCTATGACAAATTTCGAAAGACAATACTACAAATATAATTAATATTAATGTATAACATTCTTAATTAAATACTACTTTGCAAGTCGTTAATGTTAATTCCTTCGAATTGATTAATTAAACTAATTTTAAAAAGTTAATCCAATGTTGGCGCAATCATTTTGAAAACAATGTAAGAAATTTAAAGTAACTTATTTCCTCTTTTTTTCGCAGATCGTAACCGCGGTGAAGACTCGCATCAGCATAAAATGCATTCGCAATATATACGGCATGACGGAGTTGTCGTTAGTGAACAATATGAGCAGACGCGATGATGATGATGAAGAGTTCGAAAATCCAGGATGCGGTCGGATCTTCCCTGGTTTCCTCTGCAAAGTGATCAATCTCGAAACAAAAGAGACGCTGGAGGCTGGCCAGGTGGGCGAGATCTGCTATTTCGGAGAGCAAGTGATGGCTGGTTACTGGAACAATCCCGAGATGACCAGACAGATCATCGACCAGGACGGATGGCTTCACACCGGCGACATTGGCTATTTCGACAACAAGGAAAAGCTACACGTGATCGATCGTGCTAAGGATCTGATCAAGTACAAAGGCTATCAAGTCTCGCCTTCGGAGATAGAAACCGTCTTACTGTCGCATCCCGCGGTAAAAGACGCCGCGGTCGCTGCCAAACCGGATGAACGCAGCGGCGAGATCCCCGTGGCTTTTGTAGTGAACCAACCTGGCGCCACAATTACTGCCCAAGACTTACAGGAGTTCGTCAAACGTGAGTTGTTACTCAGTTTGATCATTTTTTTCATTTCTCGCAGATTCATTAAAACGTTCTTCAATTAGAACATTATATTCATTATTTCTCTTACTGTGAAAAAATCTCGGGTAAAAGTGCGCACTATTTGGTTCCCTTTGTATGTCATACTTTGTTTGATTCTTTTCATCACAATAAAAAATTTTAATTTTAGATTTTCTTTACACTTTAAAATAATAAGTTTAAAAAAGCATTTTAAAGCAGATTTAAAAAATATTAGAGATATACATATTGATCTATTTTAAAAAGTTAAAAATTTAATGAATTGCTTACAACAATATAATAAAAGTTATTTAACACGAAACGAATACATTATCGCAATCACATTTAAATAAATAAATAAAACATAATGCCAGGAATGATATAGCAACAATATTCAACATTACATTACATTATTAATTAGTATTAGTAATTAGTGACATCGCGTTACAATAATATTAAACGCTGCAATTAACAAAACTGTTAGTTATCTCCGCTGTTTTTGTAATTTAAAATGTACGGCTCGACAGGAGTGGAAATATTTCACCCCATCTTGGCATTACGTTTTAATAGTAAACGCGAGCCGAGCGACGACCTGTACATACATTAACCGAGCAATTCAATTTATCTTGCAGTGAAACTATCGCCGCAAAAATGGCTGCGTGGCGGGGTGCACTTTGTCGATGTCATACCGAAGAATCCTGCCGGCAAGATTCTACGCCGTGAACTTCGAGTAATAATTTCTAAACTGTAATAGTAAAAATCGCATGTCAATAGGCTTGCTTATAAGTATGTATAAATTTTCCTCGAAATAGACCAAAGAAAAATAATTGTGTTAACAAAGTACAATAATTTTTAATATTTTTCATATCGCCAATAGCAAATTGACAATTGCTGGCAATCGTTAAGAAAAATGCCATGGTACGTGTGTTAAGAAATATTTTTGCGTTAATGAACGTCTTACTGCGAAGAAGAGTAAGCTCCGCGAATTTCTTCGCTACCGAAACGTAAATTTATTGCAGTTTGTTCACACGTTGATTAATTCGTAAGTAAACCGTTGAACAACGTTATCGATTATATACGAGTGCTCGGTGAACCGCTTAAGTACAATATGTAGCGAAACACCACAGCGAGAGGGTGTTTCGAATTATATTACACGATATCACTCTTGCGCCGATACGCGGTGCTATTAAAATAAATAAAGAAACCTGTTGCATTTCTTGTGTGCATTATTCACGTCAACGAAAAACGTACGAGCGCACGCGCATGTGGTCCCATATTTCATCGAATATCTAATTTCTTTCCTCTTTTGCGACATATTGATCGGACTTCTTATCGATTCTCATATGTTTTTCTGCAATGAATCTTGCTAATAATGTGAAAAAGTAAAACGTAATTAACTTTTTATAAATAAATAACTGAAATTTTAGCGGATCCCCACAATAATCCCGACTCACTTCGAAACCTTTCCAGATTAAATTACCAGCAGCATTAGTCTTCCATTTTCCATCCATTAACAAACTATATATATTTTAAAGTAGTACAAAAACCGATTTAACAGATTACGATTTTTAAAATGGTTTCAGCTGGGCTAGAATTCAACTGTGTCGTGCGTTATAAGGTTGAGCTTCCTAACGTAAATAAAAATCTGATTTCTCATAGAATTTTTTTGTTTGCAGAAGCAAGTTGATTTCAAAAAAGAAAAATTATCCGGTAAATTATATATTATGTCACCTCAATTAACAATGATGGCCAAATTAACAATTACTTTATATGTAAAAATAATAATATTAATTCGTAATAATATTTAGGGAAGCAGACCTTATCTATGATGAAAAATTAGATACAATTGTACGCAAAATGGAAATCGTACGCTTAATAACATTTAATGTAGCACATCAATGGCCAAGTAATGTAATCTGCAGCCTATCCCAGTGGTATCATTATTGATTGCACGACGGTCTTGCTGCGTTATATGCGGAAGAAATTATTGTTAAGGTTGTTTTCCATTATTTATACTAGACTTAAATGTAATGATAAGAAATAGCAAAATATCATATGCACTAATATGCATATGTGTCAACAGTACTTAAACCACAATATAAATATCTTCCGATTCTACGTTGAGACAGTTATACAGAATATTATTTTTCAGATCTTCAATAATTCTCGAATGGTGGATTTATTCACAGTTCAGAATCAATATAAATCTCTCCAGTTGAATTTTTATTTTAATCATGAATCCCCCACATAATAATAGCATGTCGGAAATCAATTCAATTTTCAATTTTCAATTTTCAATTTTCCACATTATATCAAAGATGAGAATTGGTAAATAATAAGTAAGTTTCTAAAAATAAATATCACTAAAAGAAAAGGAAGTAATAAAAGACATTTAGTTTAGAAATACTAAGTTATAATTTATGTATTTATTGCTATAGTGTTGATTGTCTTACGGATGCTGCAAGATGAAATTAGTGATGAGGTTTTTCATAAAGGTATCTACAAGTATCTATATGAGCAGTGAGTGACAATTGCTATATAATAATTATGTATCGTAAAAAAAAATGTGATAAATGTAATAATTGTCACATTTCCATAAGGTTTTTCTCAATTTTTTCATAAAATTTTTTGCTTCTTATTATTCGAAGTACTTCTCAATATTCTAAATTTATCTTTGTATTTAATACTTTTTTTATTTTAAATCAATAATCTCATTTCATTTTTTGTATTACTTTTTTCATTCTTTATCAGTTTATTGTTTTTTTTACTGTCGATTTTTTAACTACAAGTTATAATACATGTACCATTAATTGCATAATATAATATAATATAATATGTATTTTATGTACATGTATTTGTAGGTGTGTTTTTAATACTTATTAATCTTTTAAAGCTTAGAAAAAATATTTTTTAATTATAAATAATAAACTAATATAATTGACAATACATTATACAACTGTACTTTTATTTTTACAAATATCATACTTTACGCAACTCAATTCAATTTTTACGCAATTTTTATTAAACGTAGCGTTTATTAGAAATTACATTGCACTTATTGTATAAAAATGTTTTTAAAAATACATATATAATAAATATAAAAAAAACACTAATTTTACAGAAAACATATAGATATTGCAGAAGTTCTTAGCAATTTCAGCAAAGTAAATAATAGTACATTTATGTAGAAAAATTGAGTTTATTCTTTAAAAACAAATCCAAAAATAATTTTTTTAAATTTAAAATAGTAATGGAAGTTAAAAAAGTTAAAAAAAATAAAATTTTGTAAATTTGTTCTGATACTAAAGAGAAAGAGAGAGACAAAAGAAAGTCCGCGGTGTAAAATTAAAATTTATCCAATAACCGGACGCAGATAATTGTTAATTCATCAGAACCGCCTGCAATTCATGCTGTACTTTTCCGATAACGGTTAACTATTCCGGTAAGACGCATCATTATCAATTATGATCGATTATCTCTCGCAGAATGCATTTAGAATACATAACGAACGAGAGTTGGATAATTTTCCTTTTTCGAAATAAACTTGCTTATCCGTTAAAAAAAAATCCTATGCAAAATCAAATTTTTATTTACGCCAGAACTATCAAACTCATAACCCTCGTAACGCACGACATAGCTGAAATCTCAGCTTGGATTCAGCTAAAGCCATTTAAAAAATCGTAATCTATTGTTAACCCTAGGTCACCATAATTTTTAGTTAAACTTTTATATACTCTCATGTTGAAAATAACGCAACAAAAATTGCCTTCGCAGGTTTAGATATCGTATTTTATAAATAGTTAAAGTTTTTTTTAACCTTAATTCACTTTAAATTATTTTTTTTTAAATCACAACAATGAAAAAAATTCGTACGGGGTACGTCGCGTCGTATCTATATGGTGACCTAGAGTTAAATCAGTTTTTGTACTACTTACTGTAAAATAGGCGGCTTGTTAAGGATGAAAAATGGAAATGCCGCTGGTAATTTAATGCGGAAAGGTTTGGAAGTTAGTCAGAATCATTGTGGAAAGTTGTCCGCTAGAACTTCTGTTATTTATTTATTTATAAAGAGTTAATTGTGCTACAGAGAGATATTTTCCACATTACTACAGAGATTCAATAAAATACATACAAGAATCAAAAATCCGATCCGTATATCGTCGCAAAAAAGGAAAGTAGTTAGTCATTGATGAAATATAGGAGCACATGCACGCACGCTCGCGGATTTTTCGTTGATGTGTGTAATGCAACAAGTTTCTTCGCTTATTTAGTTATTTTCGTAGCACAGCAGATAGGTGTAAAAATGATATCGTGCAATATATTGTAACTCGAAACACCCTCTCGATGTGTCGCTATGTTCAGGCGGTAAAACCAGTTCACCGAGCACTTGTATTTAATCGATCACGGTTGTTCAACGGTTTACTTATGAATTAACAACGTAACAACAAGCTGCAATAAATTTACATTTCTGCGGCGAGGAAATTCGCGGCGCTTAATCACTTTTCTACACAGTAAGGCATTTCATAACACAGAAATATTTCTTAGCACACGCACCATGGCACTTTTCTTGAACGATTACCTACAATTGTTAGTTTGTTCTTGGCGATGTGAAAAATATTAAAAATTATTGCACTCTGTTAATTTAATTGTTTTTCCTTTGCAAGTTTTCGTCCAAGGAGATTTAAATTTATAAATAAGCCTATCGATATGCGATTTTTACTATTACAGTTTAGAGATTATTACTCGAAGTTCGCGGCGTAAAATCTTGCCGGCAGGATTCTTCGGAATGGCATCGACAAATTGCACCCCGCCACGCAGCCATTTTTGCGGCGACAATTTTTCTGCAAGATAAATTGAATTGATCGGTTAATGCATGTAAAAGTAGTCACTCGGCTCGCGTTTACTATTAAAATGCAATATCAAGATAGGGCAGAATATTTCTTCGCTGTTGTTGCACCGTATATTTAAATTACAAAAACAGTGGAGATAACTAACAATTTTGCAGCGATTTTTAATATTATTACAACGCGATGTCACTAATAACTAATACTAATTAATTATGTGAGGTAATGTTGAATGCTACTACTTATATTACTCCTAGCATCACGTTTTTATTTATTTAAGTTTGAATACGATAACCCGTTCGTACTAAATAACTTTTTCTAGACTATTGTAAGCAATTCATTAAATTTTTAATTTTTGTTCATAGATCTATGTATATCTGTAATATTTTTTAGATCCGCTTTAAAATACTTTTTTAAACTTATTATTTTAAAGTGTAGAGAAGATCTAAAATTAAAATGTTTAAATTGTGATAAAAAAAGTTAAAAAATGTATAGCAAAGTATGAAGGGAACAAAATTGAAAATAGTGCACACTTTTACCCGAGACTTCTTTATAATGATTAAAATAATGAATAATATTCTAATTGAAGAACGTTTTAATAAATCTGCGAGAAATGACAAAAAAGATCAGACTGAGTGACAACTCACGTTTGACAAATTCCTGCAAGTCTTGGGCGATAATCGTGGCGCCAGGTTGCTTCACTACAAAAGCCACGGGGATCTCGCCGCTGCGTTCATCGGGTTTGGCAGCGACGGCGGCATCTTTTACTTGGGGATGCGACAGTAAAATGGTTTCTATCTCCGACGGCGAGACTTGATAGCCTTTGTACTTGATCAGCTCCTTGGCGCGATCGACTACGTGTAGTCTCTCCTTGCTGTCAAAGTAGCCGATATCGCCGGTGTGAAGCCATCCGTCCTGATCGATAGCTTGTCTGGTCGCCTCAAGGTTGTTCCAGTAACCCAGCATCACTTGATCCCCGAGATAGCAGATCTCGCCCACTTGTCCGGCCTCTAGCGTGTCTTGTGTTTCGAGATCGATTACTTTGCTGAGGTAACCAGGTAAGAGCCGCCCGCATCCTAAATTCTCGAACTCATCATCATTATCATCATCGCGTCCGCTCATACCGCCTATTAGCGACAACTCTGTCATACCGTAAAGGTTGCGAACGCATTTTATGCCGAGGCGAGCCTTCACCGTGGTTACGATCTGCGAAAAAGAGAGAGTTACTTCAAACTTTTTCCAATGCTTTTAAATTTAAATTTAATTAATTAATTATTTTAAGTTTAATTAATTAATGCGAAGGAATTACCATTAACGACTTGCAAAGTAGTGCTTTAAAAATGTCATACATTAATATTAATTATTTTGTGGTACTGTCTTTCGAAATTCGTCACAGGATATGATTTATTTTTAAGTCTCACAAGAAAAATAATTTTTAACTTGTATATACAGCCGTATATAGAATTTAGCTGTATAAATTTCTTTCAATATAAAAATTAACATACTTTTTATAGCGTCCTTTCTGTCGTTTTCAATGTCTGTTTTACTCTGCAATTGTATTTCAATCACGCGAGACACAAAAGCAATAAAATATAACTATGAAAAGCGGTATTTAGAAGACATTAAGTTCACAGGCGCGTGTTTGCATGGTTTTCAAAACTTTAAAAGACCCTCTCCTCCACTTCACGTCTTTGGGAAACTGTTCACGGATACAAAGATGAAAGATCAGTTTCGCATTTTCCGAAAGACGCGATTGCAAAACTCGCAAGAATGTGGCCTTTTATTCTCTTTTCCTCCTACTCTTTCTTAACGACATTGTGAATCGGTTAAACACAAATAAACGTGATAAAGTTACTTCCCGAGCCGTGTCTAGTAAAAATGCGACGACTCCCCGGGGACTTCCTCTCGCAGTCTTTCGTTCTCATCGCAGTCGCGGCATCGAGGACTCACTTCCGGCACTTATAAATCCCGCTGATGGCTACTTTTCTTGCTGTGATAACTTGGCCGAGGAGGATGAGGAAAGAAAGATTGGTAAATAAAGGGGGCGACAAACTTCATGATGACAGAAGAAAACTTACGTTCTTCGAAAGCGGCGCCGCCGCGCAGAGGAGTTCTCTCACGCTGCGAAAATCATAACCATCTACCAGCGGATGTTTCGCCAGAAACGTCAGGATTGGCGGCACCAGCGGCAGATGGGTGATCCTATACTTCTGCACCAGGGTTAGGAAAAGTTGCGGCTCGAAGACGGGCATTATAACACAAGTGCAGTTCGCGAAAAAACCGAGTAACAACATGTTCATCCCGTAAACATGATAAAACGGTAGCAGTATCAATATTCTGTCATCACTTTTTGTGTCCAGGTACTCGGGCTTGCTGCGTTTTTAAATCTTATTTAAATTATAAAATCAAATAATTGCTTTTAAACGAAAAAATGTCACTTTGTCTTTTCGGATGATGCAGAGTTCGCAAATAAATTGTAAAGTTAAAATTATAGTATTATAATTAAAAAAGTGTGGAAATAAATAGTATGGTATTATATTTTGTGTTAAATTAAAATCTCTTTTTAAATTAAACATTTAATGCCTACATTTTTAATCAAATGCATATTAATTTTATTTGCCATTTAAAAATGTTTTAACTAATGCTTAAAAAATGACATATATGTAAAACTTGCCTAATTTTTGTTAAAACCGCCATTAGATTTTTATGAGACA